ATTAGATCTCCTCTATCACAGCACTCATGCACACACACACCACTTGAGTTATTATTCACCAAAGCTGAGAAAATCCCACTTAAACACACACACACACACAAACAAATCCTGCACACATACTTCTGCACTAACAGTCTTACATTTAACCTCAGTCCCACTGAGATGAAACTCTCACACACAAAACAAACTCGCTCAGAAAGAAAGTGAAAGTGAGAGGAGGCGCCCACTAAGACAAACAACCCGACAACACACACACACACACACACACACACACACACACACACACTGTGCTGTTGTTTACTGTGTTACAGATCTGCTCACAGGACCAAGCCTTAAAAACAGTGCTTTATAGTCACATTTAGCAGATTAGAATTGTGCGATAATATAGTTACATTTTGCAATGATATGAGCAATCATGCATTTGAGATTTGCTATATAGTATATAACGCTTTACGTACATATATTTTATGTATGCGGGTAAATGTGGATGTATTAGCTATATATCCAACCGCCAAGTCTCAATGCTATTCTAGTTTCTAGATACAACTTATAAGCCATAATGTAATATTTTTTAATTTAAAGCGAGATACTATATACAAAACTTTTTTTTTTAATCCACTGATTAATTTTGGGCTATTTTTTCATCCATAACATGTCTTCTTTCAGACTAGTGGTAAGAAAACATCCAAAACACACATTTAAGTGTCTATTTTATTATACTTTACCTGTAGATTTCAATTACTATTTCAATTTTCAGTTCTGGAAATGTATGAAAATTAGTGCATATTTAATATAACAACTCCTAATTTTCATATTTGAAACAACACATTGCAGAAAACCTGTATTACAAAAGAATTGTCTTAATGTCCTCTGATTAATCAACTGGAGAAGTATGGTGATATCTATTAGTTACAGTTTTACCCTGGGTCTTGCCTTAAAAGCTTAAGGCTTAAATACAAAAATGAGTTCATGCAATGCAGATCAAGTTCAGGGCCACTCAGAATATTTGGCTGCAGAATTCGCAAAGCATTTTTTGGCTAATTTAACAATGCTTTCAGCGATCAACAAGAATGAAGTATTCTTAATTTAAACTTAATTTAACCATGTTTACATTTAGCATTCAGCATATTTTGCCCCAAAATCAGTGCAAAAACTGTGAAGAAAGTCTTCAGATTCCATGCAGACCTGGTCATGATCTTCTCTCATCATTAAAATCATACGCAAGAATGGCGCAGACCCTCCGCTGAACAACAACCAGCATAAATGAAAGTTGCACTACCTTAACAAAGTTGTTCAGGTGGCCAAGCTTCCTCATGTTGGAAACCCCGTGAGATTTGGCAATGTTCTGAAGGATCTCACGCATGTTATCTGAGGGTTCTGTAGAAAGCAAAAACCATAAATTAAAATCCTCAAAAAACATAATAAGGTTAATAGTCAGTTACTGTTAACATATATTAGGTATTCAGCATCCAGGACAGGAAATATGCATATAATAGTTTATTAAATGTGTTATTATTCTTTAAAATCTCTCTTATCTAACAACATAAATATATCACATAATGTGTCTCCATATCCACTAGGAAGCATCACTTTCCCTGTGCAGAACTCAAAAAACCTCTTGCGTGCGAGTGATTTTTGCACATACGTGATATTATGATCTAAATTCAGCAAACTTTTCCCTGCTCGTCTTTATTTAGTACATTTCTCAAGAGAGACATCAAACCCACTGGCACGGCAAGATTCATCAAGATCAGGCTCATTGAAGACTTTTTGCACCAGCTTAGATGAATCAAAGTCTGAAGCCTTAAAACACAGACTTGATAGGCAGCATGCAAAGATATGAGGGCATCAAGATGCTTTAAGCCATTAACTGTTTACTGATACAGCCTAACCGAGCTGAATGCACTGCAGCTATTCTGCTGACATGCAGATGTTTACTAGACAACACAAACTGATGGGGCTGTGCACTACAGATCAAAACAACACCTGGAAATCCTAGTGAGCTGCCTAGCTAGACAGCATTTTTGAGGCATCACAGGCGTAAATAACGCGGTCTATATTTAGGCAACCCATTAGGTTTGGAGACAGTCAACATCTCATTCAGCCTCATTCTCCTGTCTGCACAGATGGGAAACCACTAATGACAATTTCTTGGATTTAAGGGGAATCTGATCATTTCTTGGTTATTATTACAGGGAAGCATTATTAATTGAAGCATGATGGTGACTCTCACCCCGCGTAAGATCCAGCGGTACATTCTCTTCCCCGCTGTCATTCCGACCTGTCAAACACACAAAAACGACACAATAAAGACACTGTGAGGCCTTATCCGCGATTTAACGGATGCTACACAAGCAGAGGGCTATAAACAGCGCCGGCTGCGCGCGGTAACGGGGGTGTGGGTGCCGTTAACTTGCCTCTCATCCGTACACTCCGGGTCGGACGGCCGCGGATGCTGACCGCCATGTTGGCAGGGACGTTAATCATCACAACACCGGAACTCTCGTAACCTCTCGCGATGCTTGAGAGCAGACGATTTTATATACACAAATCAAAGTACTTGAAAGTGAAACCTGGTTTTTATGCATTTCATAATGAGATTCTTTCCTATACAAAGCTTTTAAGATAATGTAAAATAAAAATGAAATAAAACATTTTGCTATAATAGAATATAATTTGCAAAATAAATCCTTGTTAATTTAATTATTGTTAATTAATTTGAATTACTGTTATGCAAAGAGTATTATTTTTTACCATGTGTTTGTCAAAAAAGTCAAGCGATGCTGAAAGAACTTTGAAGCTTTTCTCTGTGTAATATGTTAAAATGCTACATTTTATATTGTCATAAAATATAATTATATATATATATATATATATACACACACACACAATTTTTATGTACAGAAATATTGTAAAAATTAAATACATAAAATTATTACATAAAACACATAAATTATGTATATATATATATTTTTTTTTCTTTTCTTCATTTTTTAAGTAACAGGGCTTATGGCTGAAATTGCAGTCAGTACTAAAATATGTGTAAAGCTTAAAGATTAGTTTTAGATCCATGTGTTATTACAAAAATTAGCTTTATTCATTGTATTTGCACCTTTTTGTTTTTACCTCCATTTTCTGTTTTTATTGTCATTCCAAATATATATATATATTCTGTAGAAAGCAAAAACCATAAATTAAAATCCTCAAAAAACATAATAAGGTTAATAGTCAGTTACTGTTAACATATATTAGGTATTCAGCATCCAGGACAGGAAATATGCATATAATAGTTTATTAAATGTGTTATTATTCTTTAAAATCTCTCTTATCTAACAACATAAATATATCACATAATGTGTCTCCATATCCACTAGGAAGCATCACTTTCCCTGTGCAGAACTCAAAAAACCTCTTGCGTGCGAGTGATTTTTGCACATACGTGATATTATGATCTAAATTCAGCAAACTTTTCCCTGCTCGTCTTTATTTAGTACATTTCTCAAGAGAGACATCAAACCCACTGGCACGGCAAGATTCATCAAGATCAGGCTCATTGAAGACTTTTTGCACCAGCTTAGATGAATCAAAGTCTGAAGCCTTAAAACACAGACTTGATAGGCAGCATGCAAAGATATGAGGGCATCAAGATGCTTTAAGCCATTAACTGTTTACTGATACAGCCTAACCGAGCTGAATGCACTGCAGCTATTCTGCTGACATGCAGATGTTTACTAGACAACACAAACTGATGGGGCTGTGCACTACAGATCAAAACAACACCTGGAAATCCTAGTGAGCTGCCTAGCTAGACAGCATTTTTGAGGCATCACAGGCGTAAATAACGCGGTCTATATTTAGGCAACCCATTAGGTTTGGAGACAGTCAACATCTCATTCAGCCTCATTCTCCTGTCTGCACAGATGGGAAACCACTAATGACAATTTCTTGGATTTAAGGGGAATCTGATCATTTCTTGGTTATTATTACAGGGAAGCATTATTAATTGAAGCATGATGGTGACTCTCACCCCGCGTAAGATCCAGCGGTACATTCTCTTCCCCGCTGTCATTCCGACCTGTCAAACACACAAAAACGACACAATAAAGACACTGTGAGGCCTTATCCGCGATTTAACGGATGCTACACAAGCAGAGGGCTATAAACAGCGCCGGCTGCGCGCGGTAACGGGGGTGTGGGTGCCGTTAACTTGCCTCTCATCCGTACACTCCGGGTCGGACGGCCGCGGATGCTGACCGCCATGTTGGCAGGGACGTTAATCATCACAACACCGGAACTCTCGTAACCTCTCGCGATGCTTGAGAGCAGACGATTTTATATACACAAATCAAAGTACTTGAAAGTGAAACCTGGTTTTTATGCATTTCATAATGAGATTCTTTCCTATACAAAGCTTTTAAGATAATGTAAAATAAAAATGAAATAAAACATTTTGCTATAATAGAATATAATTTGCAAAATAAATCCTTGTTAATTTAATTATTGTTAATTAATTTGAATTACTGTTATGCAAAGAGTATTATTTTTTACCATGTGTTTGTCAAAAAAGTCAAGCGATGCTGAAAGAACTTTGAAGCTTTTCTCTGTGTAATATGTTAAAATGCTACATTTTATATTGTCATAAAATATAATTATATATATATATATATATATACACACACACACAATTTTTATGTACAGAAATATTGTAAAAATTAAATACATAAAATTATTACATAAAACACAAACTATGTATATATATATATATTTTTTTCTTTTCTTCATTTTTTAAGTAACAGGGCTTATGGCTGAAATTGCAGTCAGTACTAAAATATGTGTAAAGCTTAAAGATTAGTTTTAGATCAAAGAGGAGCCTTCTTTAAAAAAAATTACAAATCTTACTGATCCCAAACTTTTGAACGGCAGTGCATGTGTGTGTGTGTATATATATATATATATATATAAAGAAGAAAAAAACAAAAAACAAAAGACAGGATCACAAATTACTTTATTCCTACTCAGGTGACTTTATATATACATTTTATAATATTCACTATATATCATTCTCAATCAATGCACAGTTTTTTTGGTGAAAGAATTAATGACAAATAAGGACGTTGAAAGATGATAAAAACACACTAGACGGGTTTATCCATGCTTAGTCATTGTCGTAGATGCACTCTGTAACAAATAAGTAGAAAAAAAATCATTGCAGTACAAAATGATGACTAAATATAATTTCATCAACTGTAGCTGTGCACGTTAAACCTTACCGTCACCAATATCATCATAAACAGAGGCGTCCCTTAGAGAGGAGAGGAAGTGAGACACAAAAAATAAGAAGCTGTGGTCAACCGATCGGGCATTAAAATGAAATCAAAATGGGCGATGTGGCATTGCAGAATTTTACACAACATTTACTCAAAATTCACTAATATTCACTATTATTCAGGCATATCAAATGAGCCAAGTGTGCTTAGAAAAGCAAAAACTGTAGCTACTGACTGGGGCGAAAGAAACGATCTCAAAAAGATCCGTCTCACCAGAATAGAAATAGAAACGAACAGCAAGACTATACTTACTGCTCCAAATTAGCAGTAGACACATAGCCAACTGAAACAGACAGAGACTCTAATTAATAAGAGTTTCCTCTTCTGCTGTAATGTGCAGCACATGTAGTATTTCCTAAATCATCTCACATTTTCCTTCGCTGTTCCGGCCGATGAGTTTGTCATCTCCTGGATGAACGATCACATCAATGATTTCTCCGGGTTTGACTGGTAAGTCTTTATTACCAAACTTCTTTATAGACAGCGATTGGAGAACAGTGGCTTGATACAGCACTTTGATTTCCGCATTATACTGCAAGAAGAAGCAATGAGGGTTAGTATACAGAGTCATTCATTCACCATTCGTCAAACAAACGTATCTTACTTTAAACTTCTTCCTAAACTCTTTCTCCTCCTTCTCAAACTTTTTCTTTTTCTTCGGGTCCATCTCGTCTGTCTTGCTTGTTGAGCTGAACTTTGGAAAGCTGCGGTGAATGAGAGATGGAAAAAGATACAAAAGTGATTTTGACATATTCTGAAGAAAATGCAAGAGATGCTTATCTGTGCAAAACTCACTAGGGCATTTTAGCCAGTTATATTGCTTGACAGGTGAAAATCCTAAAGCTGATTAGGACTTCTACATACACTACCGTTCAAAAGTTTGGGGTCAGTAAGAATTAAAAAAAGGATACTTTTATTCAGCAAGGACACATTAAATTGATCAAAAGTGACAGTAACAACACATCAAATAACCAGAGCCACAGTAAATGTGCCTTAATTGTTGTGAAAAAAATATCATGGTGAAAAAATCCTGAATCGTCCTACTATAGGATTCATTTTCATGGAAAATATACATTTTTTTATGTCCTTATTTTGATGTCAAACATGAGTGTTTATTATTGTTTTATCATCTTAAGATCATTTTAAACTTATTTTTGTAAAATGTATCGTTATATAACTTTTTTATGCAATAAATGACAATTGTTTTGATATTATGTAACATAATGCAATGACTTTAAGACATTAAGTGATTTAAGCAACCACTCAAAAGCTTGGGGGCAGTAAAATGTATTGTTTTTTTGCCACATTTGTAATAAATGCTGTACTTTTGAATTTTCTATTCATCATAAAATACTGAAAAAATATCACCGTTTCCACAAAAATATTGAGCAGCACAACTGATTTGTGCACAACACAAATAAATTACATTTTAAAATAGAATTGTATATTTAAATAGCAAACAGCTATTTACAATTGTAATCATATTTTGAAATATTACTGTTTGACTGTATTTTTTCAAATAAATGCAGCCTTGGTGAGCAAAAGGACTTCTTTCAAAAACATTAAAGGGTTAGTTCACCCAAAAATAAAAAATTAACCCATAAATTACTCATCCTCAAGTCATCCTAGGTGTATATGACTTTCTTCTTTCAGACGAATCCAGTCGGAGTTATATTAAAAATTGTCTTTGACCTTTCAAGCTGTTTAATGGCACTCAGCGGGTGTTGCATGCTTCAGTCCAAAACAAGTGAAATAAAAAGCGCCCATCCATAAAAAAAAAAGTGTCTCACACGGCTCCGGTGGGTGAACAAAGGCCTTCTGTAGCGAATCGATGCATTTTTGTAAGAAAAATATCCATATTCAAAACGTAATAATCACTTTAATGTAGCTTGCACTCACTGTTGTACACAGAAGCAGTTCCAGGCGGATGACGTATGAGTTCAGCGTTGCTCATGCGTCTCGTGAAAACCAACATTTGTTAACAGCATCAAAGGAAGCAAAGTTTCCTTACTTTAGCAAAGGAAAACTAGTCTCCTCTTATAGGACTGAAGCATGCAACACCCGCTGAGTGGCATGAAACAGCTTGAAAGATCAAAGACAATTTTTAATATAACTCCGACTGGATTCGTCTGAAAGAAGAAAGTCATATACACCTAGGATGACTTGAGGGTGAGTAATTTATGGGCTAATTTTCATTTTTGGGTGAACTAACCCTTTAAAAAATCTTACCGACTCAAACTTTTGAACAGTTGTGTTACATAATGACTTGCCAAAATTTAAAAGTGACTTAAGCATTCATGGGAAAGCTCACTTTACAAATTTGCTTACTAAAATAATATGAAAAAAATAACACATTTTCATAAAATGTTCTTCTTTCTGTAACATGCATGAACTAACCTGTTAGGAGACGGAGGAGGAGGGAAGTCTGCTGGAAAAATGTCATCATATGTCTCATCAGTGGCACCTGTTGGGCAGAAACCAAAAACCGCAGGCTCTGAGTGGAGCATTTACATTTACATTTATGCATATTGCAGACGCCTATATCCAAAGCAACAACAACACCGCATTCAAGGTAAACATTTTTGTAAATTCATTGTTTATGTATTTCCTGGGAATCAATTCAATGTTCTTGGCTTTGTCAGCGCCAAACTACAGAAACACTCAACCATTACATATGAGCAAGCAATGACTGTATATTTTATGCATTTCTGAATGTTAAATTAAATACAGTGCTGTTAAGATTATTCATATGGCTGTGCTTATACTAAATTCATATATTATATTAAATGTGCAGAGAAAATCCAGTATTACTCACACACACCATTAAATGCAAGAGGGTCTGGAGAGGGTGGAGGGGGAAAGCTGCAAAATAGCAGTAAAATTACAGCAGATGGCAGTAAATCCACTATATACTGTATGTGCTTCAGTTTAAAAGGTGCTTTAAATTTACTTAGAAATGACTTTAGACCTTCACCTATCAGTGAGGAATTTGCATAGATTAGGGTTTTTTAATATGACACAATATTCTTTTTTTATATAAATATAATATAAATGACTATACTATTATATAAAATGTATAAAATACACCCACACGTACTGTATTTATATACAAGTATGTTTAATATAAATGTTTAAACATTATTAATTATAAATAATATAATTTAAAATATTCATATTTGAATAAATATATGATAAGCTCAAAACCACTAAATTTAATAATAAATATTGCTTTAATATAAAAATTGAGATGATTTGGTTAATTTACATGATTCATTTGATATTTGTTATTCAGCTTTGCCATCACAGGAATAAATTATATTTTAAAATGTATTCAAAGAAATATAGCTATTTTAAATTGTAATATTATTAATATAAAATATTAATTAATTAATTAACAAAGGCTGCATTTATTTGCTCAAAAATACAATAAAAATACAGCATTTTCTATCAAATAAATGCAGCCTTGGTGAGCATAACAGGCTTTTTTTCAAAAACGTTAAAAGTCTTGCTGCACCTTACAGTAAGTGCTGAGCATGAAAGTTAATTACTAAAACTTGCTGTCATAATTTTTTGGATGAATATACTAGTATTTGTGAAGTATTAAATGCTTTTGAACATGATTCACCTGAAATCAGCTTGTGGATCATCTGGACAATGATAAATATCATCATCACATTCAACTTCTGGCACTAGTCATGTGACAAAATCATGGGGAAACAAACAAAAAAAATTTTTCTTTACGTGTCCTTCACTTGGCACTCACTAAATGATTGCAATGTTATTTAATTTATATTTATTAAATGTATAATGCAATGTCTTACCATCTGGTAGACTGAAAAAAAGAGATATTTTTAGTAAAAAATATAAATAACAATTAACCTGAATATGTTAATAATCTTTAATAAGTGTACAAGTTACTCTCTTACTTATTGACTTCATCATCTGCGCACACATCATCATACACCTCCTGTTCCTCCTGTGTGCTTCCCACAACATCTAGAGTGTCAGGCTTCACAAAACCATCTACACGTAAAACACACCAACACAAAGTCAAAATAGCAGCTGTAAATGGTTAGAGACAAACAGGAAGCTTCAGCCTAATAAAGACCGAGCATGTTCAGTTTAGCAGCTCTTGTTAGCAAATAAACATGACTGAATTCTTTACAAAGTAAATACAGTGCAGTGCAGCAGAGTAACTCACAGAGGCCTTCAGTGTTTCTGGCGAGCCAATAGTCTTTTGGGTTTTCTGTTTTATGTACAATTTCAATGCTCTCTCCCTGCTTCAGTGGAAGTTTGTTCTTTCCACCCTTGTGATCCACACTGGCCTTCGCTGTTTCAACCACCACAATAGGACCCTTGATCTATCCGAGCACAAACAGCAGTGATGGTGTAAGTTTCTTACAGTCATTGTCAAAAATTAATGTTAGCATTCAAAAAATAAACAAATAAACATGTTTACAAAACTGCAACAAAATTACAGTTACATAATGTCTATGGGAAAAACTTATGAAAAGTGAGTCTGGGTCACAAAATGAAAAAATAAAATAATAATAATAATAATGAATAAAAAAAAATACACATATATACACATACATATATATACATAATTTTTTTTTTCTTCATGTTTTTTTCCAGTTACTGTTGTTTTGTTATAAACAAAATTACAGTTACTCAATTTCTATGAGCAAAGAAACTCATGAAAACTGAGTCTGGGTCACGTTTCACACCAAAATGAATAAATAAATTTTTATATATAGCATGAAAATTAATAATGAAAATTGTTTAGAGAGGGAGGGGGGTGGGGGGGGGGTTGATGCCCATTTAACCTCAAAATCAAAATTGCTATTATATTTCACATAAACAAATATATAGTTCATATTCATATGTATAAATATAAATATAGAAATATATAATTTTCCTCCATGATCACAGTGGTGTGACCCTGGACCACAAAACCAGTCATAAGGGTCAATTTTTCGAAATTGAGATTTATACATTATCTGAAAGCTGAATAAATAAGCTTTCCATTGATTTATGGTTTATTAGGATAAGACAATATTTGGCCGAGATACAACTATTTGAAAATCT